GAACAACTGATGATCTGTCCTAGAAATGGAATGGATGACCTGAGCACTAGCAGAACAGGAAGTGAGGGTGCTGCGCAGATGCCACGGGACAGGGAGTGGGAAGCCCCCGCCTGCCCTCATCCAGTCCTGGCTTGGGAGGGCTGGCAGGCTGGGGATGGAACCCTGGGACAAAACCGCAGCCCCCCCCCCAAGCAGGGTGGGCACCATTAATGGGGCCTTGTGCTCCAAGCAGCTCCTTCCCACAGACAAAGACTGAAGTTTTGGCCCTGGGGTCCCCCGACTCAGCAATCCGCATCTCTTAGAGACTCCAAAGACAAGCTCCGCAGAGCTCCATCTCTTCTGGATGAGCCTGGTCTCTTTCTCCTGTGAAATGGAGCTCCTGGGTGACCCTCCTTCACCTTCATAGCGAGTTGATTTCATGATATTTACGGAACATTGGCTCCTAAATTGTCCATTTCAGCCACATCCTCAATTGTATCATCAGATATGAAATCCTGCGTATAAGGACCAAGCAATAAAGACGAGTTACTATTTGAACTAAGAGCATCTACCACTTGAGCCACTTCATAGTCCCTCTTGGACTTGGTTATTTTCAAGAGTCTCACCTTACACTCAGGCCTGTCTGGACTTTAGACCTCCTGTCTATCCTTCCCTTTGTCTCTGGGATGACAGACTTGTGCCACTGGACCCAGCCACTGGCTGATCTTGAACCATGATCCTCCGATCTTCGCCTCCCAAGTAGCTAGGATTACAGGCATGAGTGATAGCTCTCATGATCAATTTTTAATGTATGGCTGCAATCACCCAAAAGCTTATTAGGTGCACCAATGGGATACTTGCCTCTTTGGGGGTCAAGCCAAAACAAACAGCTCTCTAAGACCTCTTTGAGGCCAATATTGGGGAGCTTCCCAAATGCCAGCCAAAACAGGCCTCAAAGACAGCCTCTTCTTTACATCTAGAAGCTGGGGATGGCAGGGAGGCCGGCCCAGAGCTTAGGAGTAAGCCAAGGTAAGCTCTTTACATCTGTATAGGTAAAAATCCAGGATAAAAAGCCATCACATCTCCAAGCAGGACTGAAGCATGCTTCCAGGATGTCACATAGTGGGAAAGCAAGAGTAAGGAAGGAAGCTGAGCTAGAATAGCTTCAGGTGAAGAGATTTTCTTTCTTTCTTTTTAGAAAAGAAAAAAAGAATGCTTTAAGCTATCTTCCCAAAACGTTCTGCTAGAGTGTGAGATGAGGGAGGTTTGTGGAGCATTTGAAAAGTGGAATTCTTGTATCTGAGGTCCTCCAGCTACGACACTATTTAATAGACCATTTAATAGACAATTACAAATCCAGTTGCGTTCATTATAGTAAACAGGCAAATGTCTACAGTACGCTGCAGTTTTGTGGATCAAACTATTGAGGACAGAAAGGTGAAACCCTGGAGGGCGTACACCTTGTACTCACAGCACAAAGACACACATGGCAGGGCCAAGGCAGGCCAGAGAGAAAATTCTGGAGCCACCCTCTCCCTATCCAGGCACTGAGGATCTCAGACTCTGTTGTAGAGGTAAGTTCCTCTCAACATAATCACAGCCAGAAAGCACCAACAAGGCTGAGCAAGGGTCATAGAACTTGCCCCAGGGTTTTCAGCCTTCCTGTTCTGCTGGTGTTTGGTTTGAACTGCACCTCAGGAGTCAGCTGGCTATCTCCCGTTCAGTGCCCATGCTGCCTTTTCTTGTCCCACCGAGGGTCTTACAAGTAAGAGTCAGGGAGATGGCCCCGCAGTCGGAAACTCCAATCCCACAAGCACCAAACCAACTAAAGCCAAGTTGAGCCCAACACTTAAGCCATGCTTGGCCAAAACAAATCTCTGAAATCATGAAACCAATAAATACCAGGAGTGCTGAGAAAAAACATTTTTCTTTTGTTTCATAAAGCAAAAGAAAAAAAAGTGGGCCCCTGTTTATCTCTCTCTCTCTCTTTCTCTCTCTCTTACACACACACACACACACACACACACACACACTCAAAACTTCCTAACAGATAAACTAAAATAAACATAAATATGATTTAGCAATCCAGGTTCGGTTTAGCAGCTCACAAAGGGTCTGGGTGGACAGCCCTGGACGCTTGCCTGCGTGTGTGCGGGGAACAGTCCTGTTCTCCACGCACAGATTTAGAGAGCATTGAGGAACACAGCTGGCTGGGATGGCTGGAGGAAAAGCCCGGCGAGAGCCACGTGGTGTTGGTGTCATGCTGACCCCCTCTCTGCGAGAAGGAATTCTCTTCCTGAGTTAGACCATGGTCTTTCTGCAGGACAGGGATTGTTCTGCGGGGGGAGGGGGGACTCAGGCAGGAGCAGGACACAGCCTCTTTCCCTGGCTGAAACACGACTTCCAGGATAGAGTGAAACCCAGCCTCAGCTACCAGCAGATTTGTGTTAGGAAATAAGCAACTAATTGACCTGGTTTCGGACTGGAAGTCTAACCAGTCACCATTCTTCTTATTTATCACAGAGCTGCAGCCCTCTGGACTCCCAGCAGAACAGACGCCGTGGGTAATTCCTTACATCATGAACGTAGCCAGCACGGGGGGAGGAGCTGTCAGAGGCTTGCCTCCTAAGTCAGGAGATTTTGATTTTGCTACAATATTTACTAGAACTAAACATTTGAATAAACATCTTCCCTTTGAAGGCGCTGCCTGGGAGGGCCTGCTCTGCTAGGGATCCCTCTGTTCAAAGCCACCCTCAGAACCTGCCTCTGATCGGGGTCAAAACCCATTTACAATTCCCTGAGCACCCAAGTCACAGCGTGGCTTCTGACTCACCAACGGTACAACCTAAGTCATCACCCGACTGCAGTTTGGCTGCTCTTCGGCTGCTTAACAAAAACAACCATGTCTGTCTCTCTCTAAACCCAGCTTGTCAGGCCAATGATGTTGGCATCATTAAAATACACGTGCTTTAGCAGTGCTAGACACTCCTTCCATGAAGCACTTAGAAATACACAGATGACATTTTAACCACCCCCCCCCTCGTTCAAACACCGACTCTAGAAGGTCAAGGTCAGAAGCCTTTCGCCAGCAGACAGTAGTCAAAGCACCCCTGACTCCTGATCCTTCTGATAAAAATGCTTAAAGTCCAGGCCCCTGGGTAAAGGGAGATTTTTAGTTAAAAAACAAACTACTGACCTAAAATAATGATCTCACGTATCTGTTTCTGCAAGGACTCAATATTCACCCCCTCCATCTGCAAGGAGGGAGGGGACATGGAGTTCATTTCTACTTAAAATCCTTCGACATTCTCAAGAGCAGCCTTCTTGCCGTCCCAGCCTCAGGTAGCAGTCAAAGAAGAGTCACATAAAACAAGTTAGCTCTGTGCTGATAAAGAGCTCGCCAATGATGCTCACCACCACCCCCCCTCCCGGTGGATGGGGACAGACTGTCCCTTGACTTTTATTCCACATACATGTGTGATACTGGGGTCAACTCTAAAAGAACTGCAGAGGAAAGCCAGATGTCGGGAGCTCTCACCTGCAATCTTAGCTACTCAGGAGCTGAGATCTGTGTCCACGAGTCCCTTATCTCCAATAAACCACCAAAAGCCAGAAGGAGAGTTATGGCCCAAGCGAACATGAAAAAAAGCTAAGGACGGCACCTAGGCCATCAGGTGAAGTTCCCCAGTTCAGGTCTTGAAGAAACTTGCAATATAATACAAAGTTCTCCTACAGAAAAGGACATAAATAATTTTGAAATCTGTGGATTTTATTGCTAAAAAAATGTGTCTTTGAAACTTTAGCTTTTTCCAAGGGTACATTTTTATTTTTGTCTTTTAGTAATGAGCAAGGCTTCTTTCTCATAACTGGGGAAAATATCTCGGAAGTTTTCTCTAGCAAATGCTTGTCCTGAAAATTGAAATAGCCATTGATCAGACTTACAGCTGTATCCTTCTGTATGTCTAAAAAAACCTTATGCATAAACTCCATGGTCAAGACCATCAATGAGAAAGATAAAATATGAGAGTGCCTGGGCAGGCAGGCAGGCAGATACATAGGCAAGTTGGTTGGTTGGTTGGTTGGTTGGTTGGTTGGTTGGGACTGAGGGTCTTGGGCTTGCCAGGCAAGCCTACTACTTCTTAAGCTATGCCCCAGCCATTTTTTGCTTTTGTTATTTTTCAGATAGTCTTCTTTTTTGCCTGAGCAGATCATGCTATTTATGTTTTTTGTATAGCTGGGATTGTACATGTGTGTGCCTCTGTGATACTTAGATTTCGCTGGCTAAGATGAAATCTTTCAAACTTTTTGTCCAGGCTGGGCAAAGCTTGAACTGTAATACTCCCAACCTCGTTCCCCCAAGTAACTGGGATTATAGCCATGAGCCACCATACCCAGCAACATATCTATTTTTGAGAGCTATGGGCTTGGGTTTAATTCCTAAGAGCTTTACTTTATTTGTTGTTGCCATCAGAAGCTTGGTCATGTTTTAACCTCAATTTTCTCCCAACCTTTATTTCATTACAAATAAAGGTGCTAATATAGAACTGTGTGTAATAAAGGTCTTCATAACACCAAGAGAGAAAATTAAAACAATTATGAAAGTAGTTTCTCATAGTGGTCAATGATGTACAACTCCAATTTAACTGCTGTCCTATTAAGAAGTGGCATTTATAACTTACCCTTTATTTTCATTTTGTTGTATAAAAAACTTTTTACAGTTTATATAAGTTTGGGGGTGGGGGAAAAGGTGCGTCTTGATTCTGCCTTTCCTTGTGGTGACCACGATGAGAGCCATGGACCCCTGAGGCGGGGCTTCGCAGCACACTGAGGATCTGGGAAGTTGGTTCTGGTCCCTGCAAGATGATTCCCACACAGAGTCTCCAGGTATGGCTTTGGAAACCCCCAAAGATGCAAAGTGCCAGTCCCCAGATCTTCTGTGCCAGGAGGCACACACCCTGAAATGGGACAATCAGAACCTAACAGGCACCGGGCGCTGGAGAATCTCTGTGCGGGGATGGCGCATGACCGCGTCCACAGAGGCGGATCCTTTCGCCAAGAACACGGGGCCCTGTGAGCTGGGGCATAAGGACACGATCGCAGCTGAGGGAGTGAGATGAGCTGCCACGGCGGGAGGCCCCGCATGCAGAGTGTGTTATAACAGCACAGATGGGCCTGGGCGCGGGAGACCCCATCAACGAGCCCACTGAGCCCTCGCCCGCCACCCAGGCATGACTCTGGGCAGAGCCAACCACAGTCCAGCAACATCTCCTCGTGCTGTGGAAGCTCACAGGAAAGCATCTCTGCTGAGGCCTGTTAGCAAGATGAATCCAGGAAGAGGAAAGGAGCACAGGCTCCACCCAGTGACCTCCCAGGAGCCTCCATGCCCTGCCCTTTCCCAGCAAAGCTTGGTGGAAACAGGTCTCAACAAGGACATGGCTGCGGGTATCTTGATCCAGAGCTGTTTACCAGGCCGGCAGCAGGTGTGCTTCCTCACCCCACTAAGAGACTCTGGAAGCCGGGCGCTGGTGGCTACGCCTATCATCCTAGCTACTCAGGAGGCTGAGATCTAAGGATTGTGGTTCAAAGCCAGCCTGGGCAGGAAAGTCCATGAGACTCTTACCTCCAATAAACCACCAGAAAACCGAAAGAGGTGCTGTGGCTCAAGTGGTAGAGCGCTCGCCTTGAGCTGAAGAGCTGAGGGATAGCACCCAAGCCCAGAGCTCAAGCCCCATGACCGACAAAAAATAAAAAAATAACCACAGCAAAAATGGGTCATAAGCATGGCTCATAGGGTAGAGCACCTGCCTTGCACGCCCTGACTTCAACTACCAGTATCATCAAACACCACCACCAACAACAAAGATGGCTTCCACTCTACCTTCTGACACCAGGGCCCACATCTCTGGCTCTGTGGTGCCTTCCACCTGGCAGGCCCTCTCTGGTGTTACACACTAACAAAAGTGTGACTTTCTGTGTCTCTGCTCTCAAGGCAAGAGCCGTTTCTCCTTCACTGGAGAAATATGGCTGAAGGCACGGATGCAGGGGTGGGAGGTAAGAAAGGGATTTGATGATGGTTCTGTCCTGAGCTTCAGCTCGTGATTGTAGGTTGATTGCTAGTCCTTCCCCAGCATTTAAATGAAGCTTCTCCGAAACAAAGACTTTGCTAGATGATTCTAGTTCCCTTCTCCACTCAACAACTTAGCATCCCTCCCTGATCCGTCACCCAGCAATGGAAAGCAGATCTGTGGGAGAAACTTCCCTGGATCCTATTATCTTTTCAAGTTCCTATCCTGAGAGACTTCACTATAATGCAACTCTAACACTATGTCTGAACAGAGAACATCCTCAGAGCTTCACAGCCAAATGAACTGGGAACTGGTCGCCGCTCAGCAGGATGGGGGAGGGAGAGTAATCAAGCACATAATGTTCCTTTTATTTAGAAAATACAAGGTGGAATGCTGTGGTTACATGTGCAAAGATCACACAGTCCATGAGCTCTCTGACTTAGCTGATGTCACAATCACCAGCCTGATTGCCTTTCTATTAATTAATCCATTCACAAATCCAAGAAAGGACCACAGCCTCTTCCGAGCGTCTGTCTCTGTCTTTGGAACTGTCTTGAGAAAGTCTTCCTGTGATCCAAACTTCGAAACTTTTCCACAGGCAGTGCATCATGGTCTTTAAAGAGGGCCGTGGCCAGGTTTGTTGTGAATGAACTTCTAGTATAAACATTTTATTAAATGTTATTTAAAAAAAAACATGACCTCTTTCCTCAATGTCCTAAGCGTAGACGACGTACTCCCATTTTCCCATTATTGCTGATTTTCTGGTAGCACGCAAAAGGGAAAAGAAGTTAAGAAGGATGCAGGTGCCCTTCTCAACGTCAGTGGCCTCTGAGATCAGGGATCTGTGACTCCCTTTTTCTGAGAGCGAGGGAGAAGCACAGGAGCAAGGGCTCTGCCCAAGGCCCGACCCCAGGCCTCTACGTCTCACAAGACCACGGGTCACCAGCCACTCTGCTGGAGGCCGGGGCCTCATTCATATCATCAAATGGGCCTCTGGGAAGAGGACCCATCACTGAAACTGTCCAGCCTCCTTCCTTCAAGGGGCCTGCTGGCCTTCCCCCCAAGCACTTCAGACCAGAGCAGGCTCCCCTTCCCCCACTGCCAAGCCCCCAAATGTCACCAGATTCCCCCTTCGCCATGAGCCAACTTGCCGACTTCTTGTATTCCATCAGCTCACATGCCCCACGGGTATTTGTCCCAGTAGTGGTCCAGGAAGCACTGCCAGTCTTCCTTGGCATCTGGGACCCGTCTCTGCTGTACTAATGACTCTGTGGTCTGCAGAGAGGTATGTCAAGTGCAGATGCGCCCATCCCCGGGCTCAGCGGGGTGCAGAGGAGCCCAACCAAGGTGCCTAATCCACCAGGCAGCACTCCAACACTGGCGCTGGGCATGCTGGACAACTGCAGAGAGCACGGACCTTCCTTCAGGATATGTATGGGGCTGTGGGCTCCAGTCCGGGCCCTGAGCTCTTGAGGAAGACCCTGGCAGGTCCCTTAGCCAGGTGGGAGTCAGAAAATAGCTTCATTTTGGAAGTTCCTGTCCATGTATGCATGGTTGGAGGAAGAAAGGGCAGAGAAGTGACCTGATGAGTGGCCCATATAGGAAAGGAGCCGAGATGCCATTCGGCGGTGATCATCCCAGCACTGACAGCAAGAAAAGGATGCTGGGTACCAGCCGGCTCCCGCCCTGGTGAGAGCCATCTCTCCCGTGTTCCTCCAGCCCGTCCTCCTGCTCTGGCCGGATCCTGTGCCTGCACTGGCCCTCCCTACTGACTGGCCACCCCTGCTCAGCAGGCATGAAACCTTGTTATGTCCCTTCATCATATTTTTACTTCTTACAAGACATTTAAGTTATTAACAAATGAACTTATTAATAGGGCGAATGTTAGTGTTCTGTAAGTAGTCTCTCTCAGGCAGTTTGCAGGGGTGAAGTTTCTCGGAACACATGACATCCTTCATGGAGTCATCACAGGTCCCTTGCCACAGGAGTGGGCACAGCACCACCAGGCAGGACCCAGCTGGTCCCAGAACCTTGAACTGAGCTACACATGGGCCCAACATCAGCTCCACCACTCGCCTCCCTGAGCCTGTTTCTTCATCTGTAATGTCAATGTAAACCTTATGTCCTAGCTGGTTGTACAGTTTGCCCTCTGCAAAGTGGCTGGATTAGATGAGTCTTGGTGAAAGCAGGAGGAAGAGAAAGAGAAGGAGGAAAAGGAAGAGGAAGAAGGGGGAAAGGAAGAAAGAAGAGGAGGGGAAAAGAGAGGAAGGAGAAGATGGAGAATGAAAAGGGATGAGGGGAAGAGTAGAAAGAAGAAGGAAGGAGGGAGACCAGGGAGGAAGGGAGGAAGAGGAAGATGAGGAGGAGGAAGACTCTGTCCTTTTCTTGGGCCACAGTGGAGCATAAAGGAGGGCAGACAGGACACCTCCTGCATCGTGGAAATACTTGTTCGTTTACTAACAGCATGAAAAGACAGGAACAGAAATTTAGGAATAAAAAGACGACTGCAGATTGGCTAACCCTCTGTTCTCCTGTTATAGATGTAGGTACCAAGGAAGACAAGGGGGGCTCCCTGCTGAACCCACCCCAGAGGGTCAGAGGTCATGGGGTCAGAGGTTGGGGCTCCCTGGGGAGGAAAGATGGCACACCTTCCTGCAAGACCAGGAACCACTAGCTGGATTTTTCTTTATTATTATTATTGTTGTTGTTGTTAATCTTTGTTGTTCAAAGGCTAGACTTTGGATCATTGATGGGAAAATGAACCAAACATAATTTTACTTTCTTTACACAATTTCTTTCTTTTCTCTTTTCTTTACTTTCTTTCTTTCTCTTAAAAGATATTTTGCAGCCAGGCACTGGTGGCTCACGCCTATAATCCTAGCTACTCTGGAGGCTGAGATCTGAGAATCTTGGTTCAAAGCCAGCCTGGGAAGGAAAGTCCTTGAAATACTTCTCTCGAATAAACCACTACAAAACCGGAAGTGGTGCTGTGGCTCAAGTGGTCGCCTTGAGCTGAAGAGCTGAGGGACAGCACCCAGGCCCAGAGTTCAAGCCCCACAATTGACCAAAAAAAAAAAAAAGCTATTTTGCAAAAGAACTGACTTTATCACAGCCATATCTTATCACTGGAAGAATACCTTTGCAAGAAAAAATTCCCCCATAAAAACAGCACCCAGAGGAAGGAATTCTGAAAGGATTTGACTCTGTTCACTCCACAGCCCCTGTGGGGCTGGGCACTGGCCGGCTTTGCTGGGCACCTCTGGGAGCCCAGTCTGCAATCACAGCTGGACAGGCTGTGGAAAGCTGGTGGTGGGGAAGACAAGGCAGGACAGGACATCTGAGATGGCTGGGACGCGAGTGTGCTCACTGCAAGGACACTCCGTCCAGTCCAGGGGAGTCTGAGAGTGGTCCCGGAGAGAGGCTGCTGCCCTGAGACACGAAGAAGGAAGGCAGCTCCAGGAGCAAGCGGGCACAGAGGCTGGAGGGAGAGAGGAAGGACCATCTAAGGGCCACTTCCTGAAGCCTGGTGCTGAGAATGTGGTACACAGCAGGGGAGCGACTTGGTCACCTTTGCCCTCTGGCTGACCTTGGGAGTGACCTGGGGCGAGCAGCACCCTAGGAGGCCTTGCCAATGCCCAGGAGAAGTGAGTGTGCAGGACTGCGGTGGTAGCAGAGGAGACACAGGTTCTGGTGCAAGGCGTCCCGCTGTGTACATGTGAGGTGGAGAAGGGGAAGAAGAAAGGAGCCAGAAGACCCCAGGCTGCAGCTGACACCGTGGTGTCTGCCAGGACCATCTAAAGGGTGGATCTGGGGTCTGCAGAGCCTCCTTGAGATGAAGACCAAATGTCTGTACTCCCAAAAGTCGTGTGCCCAAGCCCTGCCAGCCTGGATGATGGCGTCGGAGCTGGAGCCGCTCTGAGAAGTTGTGCCTCCGTCCTGGGGAAGACCCGGAGTCTTGAGGCCAAGGCAGCGCCATGCGCACCCAAGTTACCACATCGGGGAAAATGAGTCTAGGGTTTGACGGTCTGTGGCCAGCCTGGGGTTCATGTCTGCACAGGGTGGCAAGTTCCCTCAGGAAGCATCTAAGCAGGGCCAGCCCTCCGCAGCCCCAGCTCCACGCCCCCTTCTCGGGTGTGATAAGTAGAATGGAGTCATCACATCCACTAAGCTCCTCTGAAAACAGCGGATTCTTCTCCTGGGCTCACCTTTTCACTTCCACTGAGAGATTAAAGAACGGAGGCCCAACAATTTAGAGGGTTTTCTGGCTTAAAAAGGAGAAAATACATCAGTAAGCCTGATTTTAAACATCATAATCTTCTTATTTCGGGCGATCAACACTATGGATAACCCAACTATTTAGCTTCTCTTAAGTTTGTGGGGTTTTTTTTTTCATTCAGATTGCCAAAAAGATTAAATCCTAAAATGTGGACATACTGATTTTTTTCCATTTGAATTTTAAATCATTCAAACCAAAGCTGCCATCCTGCCTATTCACAAGCAGATATTTGAGGGGCCACTTTCACCTAGCAAAACCATTGGATAGCCAAGTATTGCCACTGAAAGACACAACCTATTTATTCTTATCCTCTTCATGGTAAATGTGTGTGTAATTACACACCTTGTAATGTGTGTGATGAGTGTGTGTATGTGTGTAGGACATATGTAATGAGCATATGTTTATCCATACACAACATATATACAAGCATATGCGATAACCATGTGTTTATATAAACACAACACACGGTGACATACACACAAAAAGACTATGTAATATGTATGCGCGTACACACATTCACACTCCATCTTAACTAGCAAATTAATTGCCAGATAATTGTGTGTGGCCTATTCCAAACCATACTCATCATCCGCCTGTTTCAACACACGTATCAGCAGAGCCACACCGATAAACCAATCCATCCTTTACTTACTACCCATCTCCACAAATTTTTAATTCCTGATTCCCTCTTAAATGTCCCTGGTGACTTGGCACTGACAGCAATTTGTTTAAGATAGATATTTACTGCTGGGCCCTGTGGCCAGGCCTGCGTGTCAGAAGGCAGGAAGGAAAGAATCATACTCTGCTAGATTGTCTGTGAAGGAGGGCCGGCATGACAAATGATGCTTGCTTCTGCACAAGGCACTGGCTACGCCTAGATTCAGGCCTCTGACGAATGGCAAAGCCAGCATCAGAGCTTCTGGACCAGCTCTCGGGCCCCTGGCCTGGGTGCACAGTGGACGGTATCTACCTTAGCCAGTTAGTGCAGATAAGCTGATCCACGCTCTCACAACTGATTCCTGCAGGCTGACCCCCAGAGGAAGGCTCCCAGGGGAGTCATACCTGGCTTGTTCACTCACAGCCTGCCTCTAAAGATCTGACTTGACAATTCCATGGTGGGGCATTTTGCCTACAAGGCTGAAAGGCCTGTGTTCTGCCTCCTACCACCTCCATGTGAGGCACAGAGCAAGGCTCCAGGTACCCTGCAGGCCCCGTGGGCATAGGCAGGGGGTAGCAATGCCCTAAGTCCCACCCATGCCTACCCAGCCCTGCCTGCCTGCCCTGCCAGCAGTTCCCAAGCTTGTGCAACTGAAAACTCAGAAGCAAAATCAGGTGTCCAAACTGAAGATTCTTGTAGAAACTAAAAGCCATAATAATCCAATGATATCATGCAATTTTAACCCTGATACTATACATCAATACCCACGGAGAACATAGTTTTGAAGATTTTTGTTTTGTCTTGGTTTATTGGAGGGGAGGTGTCTGTGGGTATGTCTGTGTCAGTGTCTGTGTGTCTATGTCTGTGTCTGTGTATGCACACACACACACATGTGCATGTACGCCTTACTGGGACTTGAACTCAGGGCCTCATGTTCTCACTTTATCTTTTTCCCTTAGGGCTGGTGCTCTACCACTTGAGGCACACCTCCACTTGCAACTTTTTATTGGTTAATTGGAGATAACGGTCACATGGGCTTTTCTGCATGGATGGGCTTTGAACCGTGATCCTCAGATCTCAGCCTCCTGAATAGCTTAGATAATTGGCATGAGCAACCAGCACCCAGCTTGGAGTATCTTTTTGAAACAAGAACACCATGCAGGTTATCAGCAGAGCAACATGAGGTAGATGTTGCTTGGGACACAATTTAACCCTGTCACCGTAGGGGTCAGGCATGCTCAGAGCTAGAAGGTGGGCCTCCTGGGCTGGAGGCCTTGCCCTCAACCCAGCACCGAGAATAATCACAAGTTATCATCATCATTATTATTATTTACTCTTCTTGCTACTACTACTAGATATTAGCAGAGTTTCACTTCTCTTTCACATAACCACCCAACATGCACACAGACCATAATCTTGGGAAAGCAGCATAAATACCATGGGACTTAGGAAATTTTTTATGTCTGTTGGTCATCTTTAATAAGATACCCTGTGCTGCGGGATGAATGCATAATGAACCAGGCCATGGAGAAGCGATGCAGGCTTTCAGGTGTACCTGTAACCTTATAAATGGACTTCTCTCTCCCCTGACGGGCTCTGCCTAACAACAGAGGTGTCGGGAGTAAATTGAAGGTAGGCAGTTCGTGAGGGTCGTGCTTTCCGCTTCCCTTCTGCTCTCCTGCCCCTTGGAGAGGGAGCCCAGCCTCTCCCCGCCCCCACCCCGCCTTCTATTCTTCATTACACAACAGATGACCTATCTGATAGGCGCCTCTCCTCCTGCAGCTTCCCCTTGCCAGCCTTCAGTGAGAATAAAGCCGGCTACCCTTTTTATCTTCATTCTGCCCCGGCTCCCATCCTCCGTTTTTGTTTTTTTTTTTCTAAAGATCGTTTGCCAGCTCTGCTTGCTTGCTTGTACCCAGCGGAACAAGCAGCAGCTTCTGAACTGACAGTTCTGACTTTTTGCTGCGTGTGATTTTTCTAAAGTATGACAACCACTTGCGTGAAGACACGGTAAACCTTTTCAGAGAAGGAGCTGCAGAAAGAAAGGCCTTTCGAGAGGGGGAAGTCGTGACTGCAGGAGCCGAGCAAAACAAGTCTCCCATGGATTAATTTAATTTGGCTGCCCCTTACAGGTGACAAGAGAAATTAGAATCACGCTGGCCGGGCATCTGCGGGTGCGCGCCGGTCCATGTGCTTTCAAAGAGCAGCCGGTGCAGACGGCTACGCCATGAGGGAAAGGTGCTGCAGCTTTTGCTACCTAAAGCCGGAAGGCTTGCTCGGTTCCATCCCCGAACACAGGCCATTAAGGTTTTTTTAATTTGATATTCATTGGAAATTGGGTGCTAAAGGCCAAAGGCAAATGAGAGTTTCTCTTCAACATGGCTCTCTTCCATAGTCACTCCTCCGAAGTATCTAAGATCTAAGTGAGAGAGGCATGTGGGGAAGGGTCAGCCACTGGTCTAGAACTTGCTGTGGTGATACACACGAGTTAAATATGACTTCCAATGAGGAGGATATTCTGGTCAGCTAGTGCCTGGTTATTCGAGTCCTATCACAGGTCAGTGTTATTCTGGGGTGATAGCAGGGTGGGGCTGTTTCAGAGCTGGGTCAGATACTCCTGCTATTCTATCTGTAGTGTAACTATTCTCTCTGTGTTGAC